AAGTCATTCCTGTCTCCTAACTGCTCCATCCTGGCTCACACTGCTGTGACCTTGGACATACTGAATCTCTGCAGCTATTCCCACCCTTTCCCGGGGTATCCTGGGATAACCCTGGAAACAACCCACCAGCAGCAGGATAGGGATGAGGACAGGGATTACAGAAAATCTAAGCCAACACAAATCATAACTACTATCGTGTGTTTTGGCCAGCAAGAAAACCATCCTGGAAAAGGCCTTTCCTTTTCCCTCCGAGCTAATGAGAGTCGATCCTTTTGGAAGCAATATTCCCAAGCATTGCGGAGCGAGGAATTGCCCCAGTTTTGCACTAACGCCTCCAGGTTTTCCCTTGCAGGCCTGAAGCGCAGCTACACTTGCAGCACCTGCAACGTCACCCTGAACTCCATAGAGCAGTACCACGCTCACCTGAAGGGCTCCAAGCACCAGACCAAGTGAGCAGCGCACAAATGCATGAAATAAAGGTGGTTTATGCACCAAAAAAGCTGTCACCAAGTGCTCCGAGGGGCTGAGGAGCATGGATACCATGCAGGGAAGCAGGACCTGGATGCCAATGGATTTTCCCTGTATTGCCAGCAGCAGGGTGGGAGCGTGCTGGGATTTAAGGCTCCCCGAGGAGCAGCGTGCAGCTGAGCGCTGCCAGCACCTGCCTTAAATAACCCTCTGGCTGCAGCCTGTGAGCTGGGACCTTGTGCTTGGTCCTGCAGCTGGTGCTTTTCCCTGTGAGCATCCATGTGTGGCTGCCTGTTTGCAGGAATTCCAAGGTTTGGTTTTTTTCCTGCTGAGTTTGTTTCACCAAAAGGTGGAGGAAATGGGCAAAAAAATAACTGGGAGTGTCTTTGCTGGTGTTGAATAAAAGATGTTGAGGGAGGCAGCTCTAGCTGGTCCCTGTCCCCCTGGATGATGAATATGTAAAGTGAGGTAATGTCTGTGAGCTCCCGGTGTTTTCTCCAGGGTGCGGATATCTTAAGCTCTATATTTAAAAAGGAAGGGAAAAAATGCATTAAAAAAATATCTTGCAATAAACTCAGGAATTTGGGGTTGGATGCAAAAAGGATTTGGGATAAGAAATCACAGCCCTGGTGTCCTGCAAAAGCTGCGTTCACTTGCAGAGGCCGTGCAGGGAGGGTGTCTGGGAACATCTGCAGCGGAGAGGATGTGAAACCATTAATTAGGGATTCATGGAATGCATGGCATTGGTTTGGGCAGCTTTCCTTGCTTTCCCAAAATATTTGGTGCCCGTTTTAGTCCCTTTGCTCCTCCTCCTCCGCACCGAGCGCGTGGAGCGAGCGCCTGCCGAGCCGGACCGCGGGCAGCCGGTTTCTATGGGGACCAGCAGCGTGCGAGGAGCAGCGGGAATGAGGTCACCTCATCCCCGGAACGGGAGGAAAACGGCCCCGCTGGTTCCCGCAGAGCGGCAGGATCGCCTCAAAATCACTCCCAATAAACAGCATCTAGGCGCGCGCTTGCACGTGCGTGGCTGCCCGGGAGCGTTGCTTTTTTTATTCTTATTTTTTTTCCGATTGCAAGCACAGATGTCCAGTTGGACTAGGGTATTTATTAGCATAAGCTGCTTTGATCTGCAGAAATGGGAACTAATCAAAATATTGCAAATTTTGTGCTTGGAGAAAAGTCACTCTTCTCCAATGATTGCATTTCCATTTTTCCTTTTTCTCTCCCTCATTCTATTTAGGAAAATTATTTTAAATACTCGAGTGGTAGCTTGTGCCTAAACCAAAATGACTTTTTTTTCTTATCTCGACAACTGCCACTTTTATCGGTGGCAATGACATTTTCCACGCGCTTCCTGCAAGTCACTGCCTGCTGCCTGGATAGGGAGAAGCTTTGGCGTGCTAATAACTCCCGAGATGGATGGGAATAAAAGGTAGATGGGAGCGAGAGGTATTTTAATTTGCCCTTTTTCCAGTAGCTCCAGAGAGCAGCTGAATAATTATGTGGCCTCTAACGAGCGAGCGTGTGATCCTTCCTCTCATTACAGGATTAAATTGCCTCCCTTCCTTTAGATGCAAGGGAAAATAAGGATATCTCTGATATCCCCTGTTTTGATCATAATTTGAAAGCTGCCACGGGCCTGGCGTGGTCTCGGTTTGTGCTGTCTGCCGTACACATTAATTATTTTAATGTAAAGCGTAAACATGAAATTGAGGTCTATGGAAAATATACTTTTTTTCCCAAAAAAACATTGCAGTGATTTCCTATGGCTAAATTCCAAACCGTGCTGAAAACTGAGGTTGTAATTCGGGTGGGAATTTGATTTTTGCGTCTTCCTGGCGAGGCCGACCCTCACCGCTGCCTCTGGTCTCCGTTGCAGCCTGAAGAACCAGTAGCAACCCCAGAGCGGCTGGGAGAGCAGCGGGACCGCGGAGCGGAGCCGATGCTTCCCAGGACACTTCCCGCACGGATCCGTTCTTAACGTGTAACTAACCTTCGCTTTGGACAAACATGTGGATTTTTTCCTTCCTTTTTTTTTTTTTTAGTTTTCTGGTGAGTTCGGATCTTTGGATGGATATTTTTACCCTTTCAAGATCATATTTATTGAGCACAGAACCTCAAGGACGGCGGCAGCAATCCTCTAAGAGCAGCATCTGAGCAACCCTCGACCTCAGAGGCGGCGGGAACGGAAGATTTTGCGTTTTTGGACTTATTTTTAGATCTCCAAGAGCACGAGCGGCTCCGTGAGCTCCAGCCACGCTCTAATCCGCCTCCGGGATAAATAAGTGGAATCCAGGGGGTTTCCTCCCCTTTCCCAGCAGCTGGGAGGAGCAGGGATGCGCGTGGAAGGACAGACGGAGTGTCCCGGAGTGGTGGATCCGGGGGAGGACGCGATTCCCGGCTCTCGATGGGGCCGAAAGAAAAACCAGGAGGACCCAAAGAGAGCGGTTTGGGCTCCCGAAAAAGCACCGTGAGTTTGCGGGGAGGCCGGGCAGGGTGTTGGGGACCCACCGTGGGGACAGGGCTGCCCTGGGTGGCACACAAGGGTTTTGCTTGCTGGAAGAAAAGCAGTTTCCTTCCCCATCACAGCCTGGTTCCGTAATAAATAGCTGGGTTTTAAGCAGGTGCTGCGAGCAGAACGGACCTCACGGGGCCCCACGTTAAGTAACTGCTTTGCATGCAGACAACCTGCGACAGCGACAGCTCCCAGGGACCAAGCAGCACCTTTTTGAGGAACAATCCGGTGTTTTTATATATAGGCAGCAGCCCAACCCTCCCAAGACCATGGCCACTTCTCTGCTTTCCCAAATAAGACGCTGACATTCCCGTGTGGGGCTTTGCCACGCTGGGCCCTCACAATAGCCTTTGTCTTGGCTGTTTTTAATCAGCGAGTGCTTTTCAATTTGCATATGAACGACAAGGGGACGTTGGTAGAGGCCTTTTGTCATCCCGGTCCTTCCAGCCGGAGTGCTGCAGTTGTTGCTGTCGTGGGGTTCCTCTTAATCGTGTGAACGGGGTTTTTTGGGATGTTATTTTTTTCCGTGTACCGCAGCTTGTCCGCTCCAGGCAGCTGATTACCAGGACTCCCTTAACGCGTTTTCCATAGGATGCAGCAGCTGCATCCTATTGCATCCTACTGCATCCCATTGCAGGAGCCTGCAGCAAGCCCAGCTGCTGCCACCAGGACACCACAAGTCGTGGGGCCAGGAGGGGACACCCAGGGCTGTCCAGGGGCTGTTGGAGATGCCACAATGCAGTGGAAAGGTCCCATGTCACCAGCATCCCACAAGTGCAGGGGCCACATGTGTTTTCCAGGCCGAATCACGTTCTGCAAATCTCTGTGTTGCAGCAATTTTTTTTTTCCTTCTGGCCTCTCCTCTGCAATTAGGGCTTTGCTGAGATGTCTTTAATGTTTTCTAATTTATCTCATTTGCTCCCTTTTGAAATGCACCTAGTTTTGCTAACAGGCAGCAGCTCTGCAGGAGCGGGGGTTTTTGCTTTTGGCACCAAATTCTTTAAATGCTGTTTGTTTTTTAGTGTGTTTTTTTAGTGTTTTTTTTTTCCTCTTTACACAAATGGATTTCCAGCAATATTTCTGGCATAGCGAAAGTGAGAATATCTGTAGATTAGAGGCATGAGCTTAAACTGAGGTCTCAGGGGCACTGAGAGCCACAGGGGAATCCGTGTGCACCCCCTGGCTCTGCAGGAATCCGATGTTTCCTTTCGCCTCCGGATGCCTCATTTCCAAAGGCCTGAACACCCAATATCCAGCCCCTAGATGCTACAAGCCCAAGGTTCTCCTTCCCTCCTTGTTTATTTCCCTGGAAATTATTCCTCCCTCCAATCACGGCATTTTGGTCTTTATGAGAATCTGGGCTTGTAACTCATTTCCATCCTGTTTTCTGCTTTATTTTCCTTTGAAGGCTGGAGGGCAACCACAATTAAGCTGTGGTGCATGAACTGTAACTTGTAATGATAAAAAAGAGGGGAAAAGCACCTTGCCTTGCACAAATGTCTTGTTTTCTAAGTTTGCAATGCCAAATTGCAGGTCTTGTGGTCACTCTGTCCCCTCCCCTGACACTTGTCCTTCTCCCCAGGTAATTATTGCCCAAATGGGAGTTTTTTGGGGTGATTCTCTGCAAGGGCAGCGGTGCAAACTCCACCTGGAGCAAATCACTGCTTTGCATTCCTGGGCGGCTCCTGCCCCTTTATATTCCATAAATACCATATGCAGAGCAAAACAAAACATTAATAACGTTCTCCGTTTTGTCCTTACATGAATTATGTGAGTACTCCCTGTTAACAAACTACAGGCAAACGATAGCTAGGCAAGATATACAAATTATGCTGGCAGACCCATATTCATTTGCATGCATTAAATGTCTCCGGCGTTATTGTCACCGGCCTCGTCCGGAATATGAATTGCTGCTGGAGCTCTGCATTTGCTTTTAAAGCTCGCAGGGCATCGTGCCTGGAGCGGGATGCCAACATCCCGTGCGGCCGCCGTGCCGGCCCCTGCACGGCCGCTCAATTATTCATAGTGCAGACCTAAAAATAAAGACCTGCTGCTGGCCAAAGCAGGTGGAAAGAGGCATTTTGAGGTCTCTGGAGCACGCCTGGAAAAATCCCTGCTCCTCCAAAACATTGCTGTGATATCCGGTAGGAACGGGATGTATATGTCCTTATACGTCCTTGTCCCAATTAAAAGTTAATAACCTTCCTTGGGCTACAGATCTCGCCGAAGAACTTCTGCTGCAGCTCCCTTGAGCTGAGCTAATGCATTTTGCTGCCCCCAAATCGGAATTTGCCACTCGCAGTCTCAGCCCTCTCGCTGCTCTATTTGCATCGGCGATGTCACCGGGCTAAGGTGACAAATGGGGACTATTGCTATCGAAGATGTTAACAGCCCCAGCATGTTCTGTATCGCTGCAGCTAGAGATAAACGGAGAAGGGACCTGCTGGAGGATCCAGCATCGAGCAGGAGGAAAGCGATAGTTTTTAAAAATTCATGCTTGTGTTAATGCTCTCGGTTAGGTGTAATTAAACACACGGAGACTCAAGCGGAGCAGCTTCTTGTGTCAAACCACAGGCCGAGAACCTGATTTTGATATTATTACTATTATCATTATTATTAAACTTTAGCACTAAGGGCAGTGGGCTGGGGGAAATGCACCTGCCTCTGTCCTGCAAATTAAGGGGCTTAATTATTTCAATAGTGATTAATGACATGAGTCGCCACAGCAAACCTCCAGTTTGTGCCATGCTTTCTAGTTCATTTAATTCATTACCCCCTGTGCAATTCCGCAGGTTTCTGGATAAAAACGCTCATTTTGGTCCCCTGTGTCCTTTGCAGCATCGATCCTGCACCCTTGGCCCTTCCCTGCTCGGAGGTTTTGCTCACCTCCTTCTGCACACTTCGGTTATTACTGTAATAAATGGGGCACTAAGACTTTTGGACGTGACTTATAATTAGTTTTCCCACCTCCTCCATACTCAGCAGACGTATATCTTAATAGCAGGAGGATTAATGCAAAGGCATTTGTGAGAAATTCAGACCCAAAGTAACGCGGAATAGCAAAGGGAGTGAGCGCTGGCTTGCTAGAAGGGAGCAATTCCCGTCAGCCGGGGCTTTTCCAAGCTCGGATAACGTCGTCTTGCGCGTTTAGGCCTTCAGGGCCCCGAATTTCCAATTGGCTGCTACAATGCACAGGGAGAAATGGAGGAATTTCTGGCTATTTTGCAGCTGGAAGGGAAGTTTTTAAGGCTTGCAGTGGGAGTTTTGGGTTTTATCCATCTCCTCTACCTTCCTGAATGTTTTTCTGCCTTCTTTTTTTTAGCAGCCGAATCCCAGATTTTTCTATCCTGGCTGATAGCCATCTCTTGGGACAAGGAGCGCAGGAATGAGCCATTGGAGTTGGACCTGGAGCAACCACGCAGGGAGCCGGATTTCCCTCAGCTTAATGACACTTCCCAGGTTTTTGCGGGATTTTGCAGACACTTTGTGCATTTCTCACCGGCTTTCCCCGGTGCCCAGCTCCACGAGTGGGATCTGCTGGACTCTTGCCGTGGACGCCGCTTCCGCAACCCGGGAATTAGACCTATGATTACTGGCGAGGTTGTAGTCAGCAAAGCATGTTAATAACTGGACATGGAAAGAAATGGGGCTGCCGTTCCTTGCTCAGTTCTGGTTTTCACGGAGCGTCAACCAGGAGCTCCGGATCCCTTCAATACAACCGAGCTAACACTCATTTTAATGGCTGCTTAATTAGATTTTCCATAGGGAAATTTGCGCGGAAGTTGCATTTCTGCTTCCAGAGCCTGAGAGGGTGACAGGGATTAAATAAAAATGCAAATAAACTATTACAAGTAAGAGACCACGGCTAGTTCGTTTTCGCTGCTCAGTACCGCTTCTCGTGGGCTGGATGGATGCATCCGTGGGTGCCTCATTGCAAGTCCCCAAAGCCCTATTTTTTTGTGTAGTTTTTGCATCGATGGGTGAGTTTGCTCCGAGGCCTTTGGGTATCCAAGAGGTATCCAATAAATTGCTTGAAATGGGGCTTCTTTTGCGTTGGGTAATTTTACAAAACCGCTTGTTTTGGGGTGACTTCTCCGGGCCACGTGCGTCCCAGCCAGCTCTCCCTGTCCTGAGCCACCCGGTCCCTCGTATCTCTTATTCCTTAGCACTTTTCCGTGCTTCCTGCCCCTCTTCCTGCAAATCCATGGCTTTTCCTCAGATGCTGCACTGTTAATTTTAACTATTCGGTTGCAGTTTTTGCTGCTAGGAGAGGGATTACCTCCTTGCCAGCACCTTGGAAATAAATCCTCACTCCGGATTTCTACCTGGTCAGGAAGAAACTCTTTTTTTGCTCCTAGAAAGTTC